CCCCCCCCCCCCAGGGGAAACCACTGTGGCAAGTCTATGGGGTGGACCTTAAATCCCCTGTGGGCGTGGTCTCTGAGCAGCTCCAGGGGAGGAGCCGCGGCTTGGCTGGCTTTCTCACCGGCAGGGTCTGGAGAGAGAGAGATGCAGCCGAGGTGGGGCTTCCACCCAAACACTATCTTCTTTTGGAAAAGATAAACACCTTGTTAAGTTCCACTTACATTGTCCTGACTTAAATGTTATTGTTGTGCATTAAAGTCCATCAATTTCTCTCTCAAAATCTCCCAAACCTGCTATTATTGTTGCTGCTTTCTGGACTGGGCATTGCCGGCACCCTCTGTTTACATGCTTTTCCTTCCTGTCCCCCACACCTTTGTTTGGATGAAGTGTTCTTCTGTCAGAACTGAGGGTGTGTGAAGACCAAATTCTCTCAGGTTTTGTCTGAAAATGACTTTTTTTCCGCCCCTTCATTACGGGTACGGGATTGAACACGGCAGTCGCTTCCTCTCACCACGGTGAAGGTAACGCAAGCTGTCTTTGGGTTTCAATGGCTGCTCATGAGTAGTAAGTTGTCTAGAACACTTTTGAAAACAACCTGTGTCCTTGGGCCAGCAAGATGGCTCAGTGAGAAAAAGGACTCGCCCCAAAAGCCTGGTGACCCGAGTTTGAACTCTGAACCACACTGGAAGGAGAACATGGCTCCCAAAGGCTGTCCTCTGACCTCCACATGCATGCCTTGGCACACAGACACACAGTGATAACACAACAGGAAATTTTAAAAGTCATCTGCTCTCTCTCTCACGCTGTTCTTAAAATATCCTTTATGTCTTGGGTGTTCTGAAAAGACACCGATGGAGAGGAACAGAGAGATAAATCTTCACATGGACTTATTCTAGGAAACCTGTCCTCGGATTGTCTGAGACTTCTTTTTACTAGGTTTTAATTATGTGTAGGTGTGTGCATCTATGTGTGGATATGTGAGGACAGTTGCCCCTGGAGGCCAGGCGAGGGCATCAGGCTCCCTGGAGCTGGAGTTACAGGCAGCTGTGCGCCACCAGATGTGGGTGCTTGGAACTGAACTTGGGTCCTCTGGAAGAACAGTAAGTGCTCTTAACCCATGAGCCACAACCAACGCTCACTCCAGTTGTTATTTTTCTTCTCTAGTTTTTTTCAGATGTCTTTTTAAACCTCTTGGTCAGTTCTGTGGTTTCTTGCATATCCTTTCATGAATGGGTTTTATTTTTACTGAGCATATTAGACATCCTTCACTATCGCCTTTATCTTATTACTGCAGAATTCTGCAGTTCTGATCCCACTTTCCGCTGCTTCCTATTCTTAGCTCTTAGGTGCTTTATTCCACTGTATGGTTAGTTCATTTCTTTCTCTCGGCCACTTAACTTTAACCATCTTTCCTTGCTATTTTGGATGTGGGATACTTGGAGGTCTGGGATAAACTGGTTTTCTCTATAGAGGACTCCACTTTTGTTTCTGCCAGGTTCCGGAGGCATTTCTGTTCCCGGGGTCATCTCAGTTACATTGGCTCCACCTGGGGTATCCCGACCACCCACAGGATGGATTTCTTTTGCCATAAACTTTTGCCATAAGGGAAAGCATCACAGATAGTTTGTGGCTTGACTGTTTGGAGGTAATTTCTGTCACATATGTACACACACACACACACACACACACACACACACACACACACACTGTATATCAGTGCAAGTTTGAGGGAGTGCAAATTTGAAGGTATTTCTAAATTTACTCTAAGGCTGAGGGCACAGCCTTTGAAGCTGTTCCAAATCTGTGCCGGAAGATCACTCCCTAAACTCCTCCTTCTTAGGCAGGCTCCTGTGTTTGTCTTCTTCTTGCGAGGTCATCAACCTCAAAGGTCAAGTTCTCCAGGCTCAGCAAATGCCCTTGGAACACTGATGGCGTTTCTGCCTCACCCGACTTGATCCCAGGTACAAAGTCTTCACCACTCACTTTCCAAGGCTCTTGAAGGGTTATGTTGCTGCCAGAATTTTCAGTTACTTTCCAATAAGTGTATTGATCTTGCCACGTTTCCAGAAATGGAAATTGGTCACACACAAAGGAAAAGATTCATGTTTTACGATTCAACGGTCTTCATTAACGTAGTGCCAACAGACGGCATCCACTGAACGTTCAATCCTGGTTTTGGAGGTTAATCTTACTGTGTATTTGAAAAGCGCTTTTAACTTTTCAAGTTGTTTTCACATGTATCTGTGGTTCTCAATGAAGCCAGCACTGCCTTTCAGTGGTCTTTAGTTTGTCACCACAGATGGGGACCTCAGGGACACAGAGTGGGGCATCTGGGATAATGAACTCTGCAATGCATAGGAAAGTCCAGTTTAATAAATAATTTGCCTGTGACCCCTGAGGACATTCCAAGACTGGATATCATATTTTGTCCTGTGCGAGGGGGTAGGGGGTTATTTTAGTGCCTCACTTTTAATATGACCTAGTTTATTTAAGAGGCTATTTTCTTGAATTTTTATACTTTGATGGTCTTTACTTCCTCTTAGGATATTACTATTATTAAGATTATATCCCCGTTTCTTATCACGTGCAAACAAGTCCCGTGTGTCGTCGTTCATCCAACACTGGTTTCATTGTGAACACTGGCGCCCCTGCCCCTTGATTTCCTGATCTTCTAAGTAAAACGAACACATGGACTTTAACAATTTACTATCATCTTATGCTTCTCTGCATACTAGCAAGCACTCAGCCCTGAACTACATCCCCGGACCTGTTTTTTCTTTGGAGACAGAGTCTTGCTGATTTGTCGAGGCTGACCCTGAACTCCCTCTGTAGCGTAGGCAGGCCTCAAATTTGTTACCCTCCTGCCCAGCCTCTTGAACAGCAAGGATTCCAGGTCTGCGGCAGCAGGCCACGCTTTATTTCTTCTTGATAGGGTCTTAGGAAGGCACAGTGCCTTGCTGGGGTCACCCAGCTTTCTCACGAGGGTTGATGACCGTGACCTCTCACCCCTCTGATTTCCCGTACGTTTGCTGTTCCTGTCATCGGGGCCCTAAGGAAATCAGACTTCTAGAAGCCGTAGCCCCCACTCTCCAGGGGAGGAGATTGAATGGAAAAGCAGTGGCCAGCTGAGAACCACCAGCAGCACCAATGTCATCAGAGTGTCACAGAAGCAGAGGGGCCACTACTGCAGGAAGGACCAGGGACAGAGGGCTATCCGGAATGGGTTCACTGGGGAGGGCTTCAGGATGGGTGTCGATCTGGCAAGGCGGTGTGGGATGGCTGAAAGGAGGCAGCAGGGCATAACTCACTTTGTCCAAACAAAAGCAGCTAAGCTGAAGCCCAGGTGGTGGCTCACATCTCTAGGCCCAGCACTTGGCAGGCGGAGGCAGTGTTGTCCTGAGTTTGAGGCTAGCCTGGACTACAGAATGAGACCCTGTCTACAAAACAAAACAAAGGAGTTAGTTTTCCTAGAGCGGTGCCCACCCTACTTGGTGACATAACTCAGTGCCTGAAAAGGCAGAATGACCCTAAGAGAGACATCACGTGATGCCACAGCTCACTGTCTGTGAGTTAGAGAGAGGAAGGAGAGGGGGTGGGTTAGTACACTAACAGCTAACTGCAAAGGATGATGGAAATTTATTTTCAGGCCAAATGAAGGGTTTAAGAAAGCTATCTTTTGTGGCACTGTCTCTGCAAAGGAAGTATTAGAATCCACTGAAATAGTCTGAATCAAGGAAATGGGTGCACACGTCCTGGTTCATTCAGTTACTTAGTACACTGTCCATCTAGCCTGCCTCATTCATAAGTCAATACACAAAGAGAGTGGCGTGTGAAGGGGTGACTGGGGACTAGGGCAACATTCCACTGTAGCTTTAAAGGGACATGAGACCTTCAGATGCAATGAAGGGCTCCTGAGTAGACCATGGTTTGAAGAAACCCTGCATGAAAGAAGTATGGAGAAGACCTGAGAAATCTGTATATAGAGTGGGTATTTGCACTTATTAAAAAGTTATTGACTGGACATGGTAGCTCACGCCTTTAATCCCACCACTTGAGAGGCAGAGGCAGGTGGATCTATCTGAGTTTCAAGCCAACCTGATCTACTCAGTTAGTTCTAGGGTAGCCAGGGCTGCATAATAAGTCCTTCAGAAGTTTAAGGGTACTAGAAAAGA